CAGTTAAGCAAAAGGACTGTCTGCAAAACCTCATCCCTCTTCCACCTGGTTTCCCAGACAATGGGGCCGCCCAATCCACCCCGGCGCCCAGCCTCCTCTGATGACACGGTCACGTCCCCACGCTGGAGGAACCCGGTGATTCAGCTGGACGGAGACTCTCTCCAGGCCGGCTGAAATGTCAACCGTCCATCAACCCCATTGATGCACCTTAGAGCATCAAATAGAAGTGCAGATCTCAAACCATAGCAAAGCAAAAGAAAGGAGATGTTAAAACGGAGGCAGGGAGCCGGTTTTCACTGTGAAGCTAGCTGGGCTTATCTGATAATATCAGAATTATGCTATGGACCCTACAGGTGGACGCCACTGCGATTTCTCCTTCTGTAAGCGATTCTTGCCATTCCCCCACCCCCAATCTCCTCTGTTAGGTATTCGTTCGTAAAGTAGTAGAATCAGGATCACAACGCTAAAGATGGAAAGGATCTACGAAGAGGAGGAAAACATGCATCACCCCTGAGGGGGAAAATAATCACCTGTCACTTCCAAACAGTTGTCATACCTGGTCCCTCATAGCGACTCCAGTGGCCAGAAACTGACACCAGCAACAGTTAGGTGCATATTAAAGGTATGCGCACATCCTTCTCGTTTAAGTTTTTAGTGGAGGCATCTTCTTTGCCATCACAGCGAAAACCAAGAGAAACTGAACAGGATTGGGACACAGATACATGAAGGAGGGCACTGAGGAGAAGGTCGCACCCCTATCGCTTGCTGCCCCTGAGCACGTTTGGGCGGGGCCGTCAGCTGCGATGCCCCGCCCGAGGGTCTCGGGCAGACTCAGACACCACTACCTTCCCTCCCCCTGCAGTCCTTGGGCAGTCTCTTTGGATGTCAAATCCCAAGAGACGGAGGGGAGGGGGCGGGGAACACACATCTCCCAGAGAGAAGGTTGCCAAGATGCAAAGCAAAGCTGGAAAAGCAAGTGTCAACAACACAGCCAAGACGTTACCACTTGTTTTTCAGGAGACACACAACAAAATGACATTTTCCAGAGAGACATATATACATAAGCAAAAGCACAGAGCAATCTAACTCCTCAGTGACAGGGAAATGGTCCGGTGAACTACACTAAGATGGAAGGATGCAGTATATGTTCTAAAATGACTATAGATAAAAATCGTTTCGAATTTCAAAAATAACACATAAGAGAACGCACAGACGGTTCCAACTGTGTGAAATGTATGCATGCACGTACATAAGCAAAGAGAAGGGAAGTCTAAATAAATGAGTCAGGATTCATGTAGCTACAGAGTTGATTTAAAGCATACTTGAACAACACAAGCATAGGGGACAGTGTTTATATTTCGATATTTATAGGACACAACATAATTCATTTTCTTAAAGAAAAAAGAAAAGAAAGAGAAAAGAGAAAAATCTAGAAGGATACCCACTAAACTGATGACAATGGTTGACTGGTTTGGGAAGAGTACGGAAACAGGGGAGCCTCTTACCCTGGTCAGACTGCTTTAACAAATTACCATCGACTGGGTGGCTTATAAACAGCAGAAATTTATTTCTGGCAATTCTGAAGGCTGAGAAGTCCAAGGTCAAAGTGCCAGCAGATGCAGTGTCTGGAGAGATCCCACGTCCTGGTTCACAAACAGTGTGTACGTGTCCCAATGTGGCAGAATGGGAAGGGGGCTCCTTTATCAGGGCACTAATCCCATTCGTGAGGGCTCCCACCCTCATGACCTGGTCACCTTCAAAAGGCCCCACCTCCAAATACCACTGCATTGGAATTTTGAGAGGACACAGTCTACAGCAAGAAAGGAGTGTCACACGTTAAAGTTTGTTTAATTTTTATAATGAGATTTTTGTGCTGTGTTGATGTAATACTAATATGACTAAAAAGAAAGACACAAGGCCATGGCGACACAAATCCACCCTCTTCCTCCTCTCCCCTCTACCCACCAGTAGAAAATCACAGCTTTAAACTAAAGGTGAAGTCTTCGCACCCACTGCCATCCTTAACTTTATATAGAAGCAAACTGCAAAGGTCATAAAAATGTCAGTATCTCCAAACAGCTGTTCAAGGTCCATTCCCCTTCTCCCTAGAACCATCCAAGGGGAGTGCTAGGCTCAGGCTGGCCCGAGCCGCATTCGCCATCAGCGTCCTCCTGTCAGGCCTCTTCCCGGCCCTGGCGGACTGCACCTTCCTTGCCTACCCCGCCTCTCTCTCCCTCTCATTAAGATATCATTTGGCAAAGCCTCTGTAAAACCCTGTCAGCTCATTTCCCATTAACAGTTACCGCGTGAGCCTTTTCTACTCTAGCCCCAGATAAATACATGAAAATAAATACCCTTTCAGGGAGCGATTTGATGCATCCGAAGTTAACACAGCTACAGTGGGCTCAACCTGACAGGCTGTTATGAGTAAAACCCTTTTCATGAGCAATATGGCGCTCCGGCTCCAAAAGGGGCACAAATACATCGGAAAGGCTGAATGACGGAAATGGAGCTGGAGAACAGGGCCGGTTGTTAACCATTTCCTTCCCACCCACCCAGAGTCTTGCCACCCTGAACGTGTAAGTATAACCAGGGTGGACATCTCCGACGTGGGCAGGTGGTGGCACCTGTGCTTGGACGGTCACGAGTCAATGTCAGGATCGCTCAAACCACACGTCTGTGCTGAGCGGACTCCTGCACTGGCTCACTTCTGCAGGTAAAATAAGGCAGAGACTGACTCACTTCCTCTCACCCCGTCAAACTCCACGCACGGTCCTCCCAGAGGACAGGAAGGAGGCCATGGGGTTTTCCGCAGGCAGGTCCCCCTTTCCCCTGGGGCCTGCTCTGCAGGACGAGCCCCTCCACCACCAGTGCAGCCAAAGCCTTTTGCTCTCACCACTTCGTCCTCTCCCTGGGCCACGTGCTGAGCGGTGGGGCTCTGCCATAAGGTGGAGTGAACAGGAAACTGAAAGGATCTCAGTCTGAATTGACCCACAGAACTCCTGGTTCCTAAACTCCAATCGCAGCAAGCATTCTGAAAGCAAATTCTAGCCCCCGCTTTCTCCCCGACAGAGGACTGTATGCCCCTTGGCTGCTCAGTCAGCCACACGGACTCAAGATCAAAACCCATTAACTTCACCCACCACTCCCCAGCCAGGCCTAATTCTCTGTGTATTCTACCCAAGACTTTCCCCTGGGATCTTCTCTATATTCAAAGCATATAGTAGAACAAACAGGAAGCAAAAGGTTAAAAAAAAAAAAAAAAAGTACTGCTGCCCAGAACAAATTGGCCAAATGACTATTTACACTGCCCAGAGAAAGCTGCTACATTCAGGCAGCTGGTCAAATACACCTGGCCCCCACTCCCTGGCCCCAGTATCAGGGAAGGGTGACCCTTCACGATTGTAAAGAGCCCTCTGCAAGATACTGCCTTAGAAGCCCAGGTGGGCCCAGGTGGGAAGGGCAGAATGAGACCAGCAGGGGCTGTGCACAGCAGCTGAGCCAGCCCCCTGTCTGCTGTTCAGGAGTTAAGGCCCCTGGCTGCCAGATTTTCCTGCCAGGGCAAGTAGAATACACCCCAGCAGCAAGTTTACAGATAACCAGGGCGGACTTGAGGACAGAATATGGCAATCCATGCTGAGGACCTCTCAAAGCTATTAGCAAGCAGATGTTCCTTGACAACAAGGAAGCAAAGGGCCCAGGGGGCAGAAACTGACACGGCCGTTCACGCTCTCGATGAACAAGAATGACACACCTCCGAGACAACATCACAGCTGTCCCACCAACCATGACGTCCAGCTGTTTGGGCCAGAGGCTGGCCATTCTGGAACACGAGTAATCAGTTTCTCACGAGTGTCTGGGCCACGTTCCAATGGAGAAGAAGGCAGGTGGGCCGGGGAAAGGATGTGAGCCTACCTCCTGGGGTGCATGCCCAGACGACTCCAGTGAGCCCGACCTGACCCTGCCCACAGCGACCCAGCAGAGAAACTCAGCTCCTCGACACGGTCCCCCCCGTGCCTCCCCCCACCCTGGGTGAACAGAGGATTCAAGCACCAGCTCAGGTCTCTCAGGGGCCTTCTGCCCACCTCGGGGACTTGCTGGGACACTGCATCTGCTAAGGTGACTTGTGCCCGCACTGGGTCCTACTGACGTCCACCCTTCAGCCGATCCGGTTTTAGCCGATGGCGCTGGGTCATGATCTCGTGCCCTGGCCTCAGCTCCCTCTGCTCAGTGACCACAGCCAGACTTCAGGCTGTGGTTCATTTTGTGCTTCTCTGTAAGCAAGTACATGCCCATCCCCCAAACCCAACCCACCAGCACTATTTAGGGCAAAAAAAATAAAAAAGCTAAATCGCCGGCACACCCCAATTCTGACGCCTTTTTCGATTTTTTTAGTTTTCACTCAGCAGCCCCTAAAGGGAGTTATTCTCAAGCCGTAAGAAGGAAAAGTGGGGAGAAGGGACACATAACCGGTTCATGGCAGAAGCGAGCGCAGCCCAAGGCCCTACTGCCCGGTCTCCCCACCTCGCCCTCCTATGAATAAGCCCTTGTGGATACGATGCTTTGTCGACGGTCTTACGTTGCAGGTGGGTGTGTTGTCATCTCCCTGGTGACATCATAAGCTCTCTAAGAGTCAGGACCACCGTCACGGGCGCTCCCTTCCCCCAGTGTCTAGGTCCACTCATATAGACAGTGCTGTACCACACGACGTCAGCTGCACTCTATATTTATAATGAGATCTGATATTTAAAATCTGAACGTATCAAAATGTAACTAAGGAGATGATGAGTCAGACTACCAAGAGCTTATTTTCTTTTAGGCATTAAGTCACAATTCCGTTCCTCCAGGTAAAAGACCTAAATGGTGTGAAATATCTATTTCGATATCGCTGGCTACTTAACATAGACACGAGTTGGCATGTCAAGTTTGAACAGGAGTAAATCTATGGCACAGAGCTAGACACATCCTGACACAAGAGCCCAAAGCGGAGTGGTACTCACCCGGTGAGGCATGAGGAGGTCAGCCAGGTAGACAAACGCAGCTCCGAGGGTGAAGCCGACAGCCACAGGGAAAAAGGCCAAGGCGCCAAAGCCACCAGAGGACGTAGCCATCTCCACCGCTGGGGCCAGGAGCGACCAATAGGAAGCGGCCAGCATGACCTGCAAAACCACGATAAGCAACAAACCATTAAACCATCCCCTGAAGGCCTTCCAAGTGGGGACTTCCCTCGCTCTCTATGGCCCAAACTGATCCCCACGGTGTCACCTGGGTTAGGCCTTTAATCCTTGGTGGTAGGTACTATCCCAAAGCCACCGCGAGAATTCTAATGTTGTTAAGAACTCAATGTGGGGTAGGGTGGAGTTGACCTTGGGAAGAGGGAGTCTAGTTTGCTGTCATCTAGCCTCTAATTCAGTGGTTCTCAACCATTGCCGGAGACATCTGGCAATGTCTGGAGACATTTTTGGTTGTCACAAGTAGGGCTGGAGGTGAGGGGGAGGTTACTAGTAGCATCTAGTGAGCAGAGGCCAGAGAAGCTGGTAAATGTCTCACAACGCACATCACAGCCGCTGACAGCAAAGAATTATCTGGTCCCAAAGGTGAGTGGCACTGTTGAGAAATTCTGTGCTAACTGAATACTACCAGGACCAGACTGCTCACTACTTCGTGAGCTCTACTGCCTTGGATGTGAGACAGCTGCAGAGTCCCTCTTGCCATGTAAGGTGACGTATCCACAGGTTTTAGGGATTACGATGTGGTCCTCTTTGGGGAGAAAGTCATTATTTTGTCTGCCACATATGCCCTTTATTTAATTAATTCATTTATTTTAATAAATTGATTTTATTTATTTATTTTTGGCTGCGTTGGGTCTTCATTGCTGCGTGAGGGCTTCCTCTGGTTGCGGCGAGTGGGGGCTGCTCTTCGTTGCGGTGCGTGGGTTTCTAATTGTGGTGGCTTCTCTTGCGGTGGAGCACGGGCTCTAGAGCGCAGTCTCAGTAGTTGTGGCGCACGGGCTTAGCTGCTGTGCTGCATGTGGGATCTTCCCAGACCAGGGCTCGAACCTGTGTCCCCTGCATTGGCAGGCGATTCTCAACCACTGTGCTACCAGGGAAGTCCCCACATATGCCCTTTAAATAAACTTTTTGGGGGGCCCTATCATCATTTGAGACAGGCAGCCCAATCTCTTTTCTCTCTCTCTCTCTTTTTTGGCCGTGCCATGCGGCTTGCGGGATCTTAGTTCCGTGACTAAGTTCGTTGAGTTCCGTGAGTTCGTTGTGGCTGAGGATTTTGAGATGAGATGATCCTGGATCTGGGTGGGGCCAGTGTCATCACAAGGAATCTTATGAGAAAGGGAGATGGGTCAGCATCAGAGAGAAGATGTGATGATAAAAGCAGAGGTCGTCGGGGCTTCCCTGGTGGCGCAGTGGTTGAGAATCTGCCTGCCAATGCAGGGGACACGGGTTCAAGCCCTGGTCTGGGAAGATCCCACATGCCGCGGAGCAACTAGGTCCGTGAGACACAACTACTGAGCCTGCGCGTCTGGAGGCTGTGCTCCGCAACAAGAGAGGCCGCGATAGTGAGAGGCCCGCGCACCGCGATGAAGAGTGGCCCCCGCTTGCCACAACTAGAGAAAGCCCTCGCACAGAAACGAAGACCCAACACAGCCAAAAGTAAATAAATAAAATTTAAAAAAAGTGACTGTACCATTAAAAAAAAGAAAAGAAAAGCAGAGGTCGTAGTCAGAAAGGAGAAGCTAGAAGATGCTTTGCCGCTGGCTTGAAGATGGAGGAAAGGTTACAAACCAAAGAAGGGTGGCGAGCTCTAGAAGCCGAAGAAGGCAAAGAAACAGAGTCTTCCCAAGAGCCTCCAGCAGGGACACAGGCCTGTTGCCAGCTTGATTTTATCCCAGTTAAAACCAGTTTGGACTTCTAACCTCCAGTACTGTCAGATGATACATTTGAGTCGTTTTAAGCCACTACACCTGTGGTACTTTGTTACAGCAGCAACAGAAAACTAACATAGCATATAAAGGCATACGTTACTTTTTTTTTTTTTTTTTAGAGCAGTTTTAGGTTCACAGCAAAATTGAGCAGGAAATACAGAGAATACCCATATGCTCCCTGTACCACATATGCACAACCTCTCCACTACACACATCCTACACCAGTGGTACATTTGTTACAATCAATGAACTTACACTGACACCTCATTATCATCCAAAGCCCATAGTTTACATTAGAGATCACTCTTAGTGTTGCACATTCTATGAGTTTGTACAAATACACAATGACACGTATCTACTATTCTGGTATCACAACTAGTAGTTTCACTGCCCTAAAAATCCTCTGTGTTCCAACCTTTTCATCTCTTTCTGCTCCCCTGCAACCCCTGGCAACCACTAATCTTTTTACTGTCTCCATAGTTTTGCCTTTTCCAAAATGTCTTATAGTTGAAATTGTACAGTCTTGCAGCCTTTTCAGACTGGCTTCTTTCACTTAGTCATATACATTTAAGATTCTTCCAAGTCTTTTTGTGGCTTTACAGTTCTTTTTAGGTCTGAATAATAGTCTGGATGGACCACGGTTTATTTATCTATTCACCTACTATAGGACATCTTGGTTGCCTCTAAGTTTTGGCAATTATGAATAAAACTGCTATAAACATTGTGTGCAGACTTCTGTGTGGACATAACTCTTCAGTTCACCTGGGTAAATACCAAGGAGTGTGACTGCTGGACTGTATGATAAACCTTTTTTTTTTTTTTTTTTAATAATCCCCCAACATAGGTGACTTCCCTGAAACTGTCAACACTAACGAAGCTCCTTTAAATGTCGGGCATTTTTTAAAATCTGGATGTAGTGACATATTAACTAGCTGATACAGAAGCGGGAAGTAGTATATCTGATTAACCTTCAATTACCCCTAAGAGGCAGGGCCTGGAAGCGATAGTCTAGCAAAGAGGAGGTGGTAACCACTGGGCCCAAGGCTTCAGGGAATGAACTCAAAACACAAGTCATTGTCAACCAGTCCCTTTATGACTCCAGACGGTAGATACCAAAAGTCCTCCTGCAGCTGCAGCCCTGCTTATAAAGGCAAACTGGGCTGGTAGTGTGACAGGGAAGAACAAATCTGACTCTATATTGGATCTGTTTCCTTTTCTTTAACCTTTGTATTCTATTGCTTTTTTTTTTTAACAGATCTTCATTGGAGTATAATTGCTTTACAACAGTGTGTTAGTTCCTGCTGTATAACACTGAATCAGCTATACATATACATATATCCCCATATCTCCTCCCTCTTGCGTCTCCCTCCCACCGTCCCTATCCCACCCCTCTAGGTGGTCACAAAGCACCGAGCTGATCTCCCCGTGCTATGCGGCTGCTTCCCACCAGCCAACTATTTTACATTGGTAGTGTATGTATGTCGATGCTACTCTCATTTCGCCCCAGCTCCGCCCTCCCACCCCATGTTCTCAAGTCCATTTTCTATGTCTATCGCTTTATTCCTGCTGAATGGATAAAGATGTGGCACGTATATACAATGGAATATTACTCAGCCATAAAAGGAAATGAAACTGAGTTATTCGTAGTGAGGTGGATGGACCTAGAGTCTTGTCATACGGAGTGAAGTAAGTCAGAAAGAGAAAAACAAATGCCATATGCTAACACATATATATGGGATCTCAAAAAAAGAAAAAGAAAAATGTATTCTATCGCATTTGCTACAAGTTAAGAATGTTGCCCGTAGCTTGAAATATACAGGATAGTCCATTCTTAGGACTCTGACTAACACTTTTCCATTCATACAGAGAGAAAAAGTTGCAGAACAGAGAATAACATCTGTCTTAAGGGAGGCTTGTAGGAACATCATGACCTGACCTACTGTGGGCAGCTGCAAGAACAAAGGATTCTGACACCAAAAGTTGGCCACAACCAACCACACCCCCTCCCCTTTTAGTATAAAAGAAGTCTCAATTCTAACTAGGGTAAGATGGTTCTTTGGGACATTAGTCCACCATTTTCTCAGTCTGACGGCTTTCTGAATAAAGACACTATTCCTTGCCCCAGCACCTCGTCTCTCGATGTACTGGCCTGTCGTGCCGTGAGCAGTACGAGCTTGGCCTCAGCAGCAGCAGCGCCAGACCTAAAGATGTGAGACGTAAACGTGAGGAGCTGGCCATCGTCCCTCCCTGTTCCTGCCTCTGTCTACAAAAGGAATGCATAATCAGGTTCCCGCGCACGTGACAGGGGCCTCGCTGCACCCCAAAGTCCTTTTTGCTTCTTTATTCCCCAAAAGAAAATGTAATGCCCAATCAATCAAATGAGCCATGGGAAAGCTTGTGTTGGAGCCCGTCCTCCAGCTAAATGTCGCTAAGACCAAAGCAGCCCAATTTTTTGCTCAGTAATCAAAGATGCTGAAGGGAGTGAGCATTTCAATAACAGCTCCTGAAAAAAAGCGCTGAGGAAAAAAAAAAAAAAATTTGGGCTTCCCTGGTGGCGCAGTGGTTGGGAGTCCGCCTGCTGATGCAGGGGACACGGGTTCGTGCCCTGGTCTGGGAAGATCCCACATGCCGCGGAGCAGCTGGGCCCGTGAGCTGTGGCCGCTGAGCCTGCGCATCCGGAGCCTGTGCTCCGCAACGATGGGAGAGGCCACAACAGTGAGAGCCCCGAGTACCGCAAAAAAAAAAAAAAAAAAAAAAAAAAAACCTATCTTGTACCACTGCCCCCACCCCCGGCTGTGTGCCGAACCCTCCAGCCCCCCTGCCTTGGCCCAGGCACTCCCACCTGTGAAAATGCCAAAACATCAAGACCCATCTCTCATGCCCTTTCTTTCAAGCATCCTACACCCTTTGCCTGAGTCCACGTATATCATGGATGGGAACGTGCAGGATTTAGAAGCAGGTCCGAGTTTGGATCTTGGCTCTGCCACTTACTAGTTGGGGAGTCCTAGACAAATAACCTAAGCTCTCTGCAGCTCAGTTTCGAGAAAACTAAACATGGGGGCAACAAACCATTTAACAAGGTTGTTTTAAGAATTACATGGGGCAACGCGTATACCGCAGCAATCCAATTCCTGGCAGGAAGTACGTGTTGAAGCTGTGCTGTGCTGGACTCTTCCCTCCCCCCGAGCATGCCTTCACTCAGCAGGCTCGCACCCTCCT